TAACCGGTGAGAAGCACGGACCAACATCACAAGGCAAACTCTCCAACTAGTTGTTATGATTTGTAAAACCACAATTTGTAATTGATTGATGAGAATTACTATGAGCAACAATGGCAATTTGAGAAATCTACCTGTAGCCATCACAGTGTCATCCTTCCCCTGGGTGAAGACCACAATCCGTTGCCTTTTAGTGTTGACCTTTGGCAGGGCCTGTGTCTTCCGGGCTATCTCCTTAATGTCTTCAGTCTATTAAGAGAGAGACAGAAAATCCCTGTTACCAGCACACCAGAGCGGTGAGAGATTAGAACTTTATTAGCAGATCAAAGATTTATTTTCTTACAGCTGAGGATAAAATAGACTTTATTGTCAGTAGAGGAAGATTTTTACAAGGAGGAATACTTCATTCTGCTCAGGGTTTATGTAGTACTATGAGACCATTGTTTTTAATCTTGATAATGATAGTTCAGCTATTCCAATTGCTGCAAAACTGCAGAGCTAACAAAGGAATTACAGAGCATTTCCTAATGAGCAATTAGTGGGTTTCTTTGCTGCTAACTGGATTCTAACCTTACCTATCATAAAATTAAAAATAAAATTGGTAAGAGAATACTTTGGATAAACTTCGAGCCTGATTTTCATCCCATTTAGCCGGGTTTTATAGTGCTCTAATCCCTCTGATTTCAGCAGATATCCAGGGGCACAGAACACCCCCCATTTTCTGCAGCAAAGCTAAGCTGCCAAAATTTCGGGAATCTTTGCTCGAAAGGGACATTGTCTGTACACCACCGTGCACAGGAACGGAGCAAGGGAACCAAACCTCTCACCCACCCAACGTCTCCGGCAGCCACACGTTTGAAATGTTGCATTTGATGCGAGTAACTCTAACGGCACAACTTGTCGTGAGAATATTATCCTTCCTGTTCTCAGAGTTGCCCTATGATCCAAAACACAAGGACTGCAATTTCTCATTTCCTTAATTTTCAATCTAGTCTGAACCTAGGTATTCCTGTTCTTCACATAAGCATCAAATCCTTTTATAATGCTGTGTGGGAAGCTTTTGTTCTCAGATTTATCTCCAGTCAGTAAGTTCTACAAACTAACTCTGCTATATGCCAACCTATTTCCTACCATCATTTACTTTATTGCTTTTATCTTTTTAACATTAGGAAAATTAAGCAAGACGGTAATTATTCTCTGGGCTACTTGCTCTGTCCCACTTCATTCCTATCTGTGCTGAACAACACCATACTTGTTTTCCCAGTTTGCTCTTGCGTACCAGCAACTGTAGTGAAACACAGTTGAGCTGCTGAGGGCCCGGCGCTGAACACATGAAAACAGAACGATACTTTCTGCATTGTTGTGTGTTCTTTATGAAGCCCAGCTCATTTTTAACACAATTACATAATGAATGGAGTTCATTCACAAAGCTGTCCGGAGGGATTTCAAGTCATTTACCAGTTGTTACAATTAATTTATGTTATTAATAAACTGATTTTTATCTTTCAAAATCCGCACGTAGTGTTATTTTGAAACCCAGGTACAGTATGTGCCATTTGGACTGCAGCTGCTGATTTAACAAGTGATGGATTATTTTTCGTCAGCAGGTCAGTGAAACACTTCAGGAACTATAATCTGCATACCATTCACTCCTGCTTACTTGCTGATTTTTTATAATATTGCCGATCTTCAAGCACTTCACCTTTCTTAAGGACAGCGAATGTGCCTGGGCTATATGTTTACCAGTATCTATTTATGTCAAAATCACCGAGCTCTTTTGCAATACTCTTAGCCTCCCTTTAATTTCTCCCAGCACCGGTAGTCAGTGAACCCACTGATTTCCACACATTTGCCCAACACGAAAATAATTTCCCCTGTCTTACTGGTCTCTTCACCTCTTCTTAACATTCTCTCACACTTTTCATTCCCATATACAAGACTCCCATTTGTGTAATTTCTTCCTTCCTCCCGCTCAGATTGTTCACACAGCTTTTGTCAGGCTATGCCTTCCACTGGAGAAGAAAGGGAAGAGCCTCGAACCCCTCTGCGCAGACCGAGGACAGCAAACAGGAGCCATCTCACCCCTAATTCTCAAAAGGCGAGGAGTCCCTTAAAGACGCCAGAGAAAAAAAATGAAACTGCTGCTTTTCTGTTTTGAAATGTCTTTTGAAGTGGCTTCTGAATAGTGGGTATCAGCTGGTGGCACATGCTGTTGAGCAGAGTGTGGATGGAGCATCACAGCCCTCCAGCCCGGTAACACGTAGGCTTCTGAAGGTTCGCCTCAGTTCTGAACTCTTTCAGGTCTCGATAATTAAGAGATCCATGAACTAGAAAATGCAATAAAGCATCACGGAGATGAAAGGAAACAGCAGAGGTGTTTGGGTTTTGCTAAGTAGGAAGGGACTACTTGTGACTTTATTCACACTTTTACAGTGAAGCAGAGCAGGCACAGAAATCCAAGGCTTGAAGATATTTGCGCCACTATTTACACGCACTTTATAAATTTCAAAAGGAAAACAAGGAAGTTACAACAGGAGAAACTGGCATGATCAAGAGATGATTTCATCAGCTTAAGGAAGAATAAAGATGAATTTCTATGCGGGAAAGAAGACCCTGAGGAAAAAGATTATTGAGGAATGATGGCAAAGGACGAAATAAAGTCGACAGTGAAAGAAAGCAAAAAGCACATATGTTTTCAGGAAGAATTAAATATATAATAAGCACCTAACAGTAGAAGGAAGGTATTAGGGAAAAGAAGGCAATTTTTTAAAAAGCAGAAATTTCAAAACAGTGGTTTGGAGACTTGCGTCTGATTGTGCAGACTTCAGAAGTAACGGAATAGCATCTTCTATGAGAATTAACTTGGCCATTTTCAGTTAAAATCACCTTCTATACTAAAATTCTTCAAAGGAAAAGAATAAAATGGGGTTTATATATTGGAAGAGCTGCAACCTCCGTGTTGAGGAGGCTTTAGCTTTTCCACACTCTCTCTCTGCCTGTTGTTTTTCAAAGGTACAAGTGTGACATTTTATAATATGAGAATATTTACAGCTTAAGACTGCAGATGTACTGTGCCCCTCACTTCACTGTCAGGCAAACATCACGAAATGTTGTCACCCCCTGTTTCTGCTCAGATTATATATAGTATTTTCAAATAGCTGGAATGAATAATACTTGTTTTGCGATGACTCGTACTTGCACACTTATCGAGACTTTCTTCTACCTCCTGCATCTACAGGCATGGCTGAATGGTAGGGCTGTGTTGGTCAGCGGTCCTAAAGCCTCTATAACGAACTCAGAGGATACTCACACCTACCCAGTTACACACCTGAATCTGATTTAACAAAGCTGAGGTACAAATCTCACAACAGCATGGTTGGCCTGTTGGACTGCACCTGAGCTACCCTGCGCGTGGCATTCATTCCAGCGAGAAAGTAGAACAGATGCACATAGAGAAAGTCCCTCAGCTACCCCAGGATCAGAGCGAGGTGTGCGAAAACCCACGTACAGTGAAAACTGCTCATCAACCTGCGTCTTCTGGTCTTTGCCTTCAAACAGATACCCAACAGCTGGGACTGCCACAGCCCTGACCTGAAGAGGCATAAATCCACCGCAAACAGCGGGCCCAGGCAGCGGACCTCAGTAACTTCAAGACCTAAATTTGGCCCAGGGTACCAAAACTCTCTAATCTGGCTCCTCAATAAATACAGACTTCGGAGGAGACCTCTGCCTCTAGCAGGAAAAATTATTTCGCGTGGCAGCTGCTACCGAGCCCTTAGACACAGACTGGTCCGTTCCCTTCATTTTACTCCTTGGGCCGACAGACAGAACTGAACCCGACGTTTTATGTTACAGCAGGATTATGTTCTCCCAATTCCTACATAGAATAAACAGCACGTTACCATTTTGTAAAAACAAAACTTCATAAATCTTTGTCCTGGCAATTTTGTTCTTTGAAACCTATTACAGACATCCAGTTAGAACATACTGACAACCCTTCTACCACTTCCAGAGGAACCAAGTCCAAGAGCTTCTCTGGGATAAAAACTGTTACTCTTCTAATGTATTACTGAGATGACTGCAACATACAATTAGGATGAAGCACTGTCTTCACAGGCAGTGAATTTGCTACTTAATAGTTTTAAAATGTCAGAGAACACAAAATTCACAAAAAGAAAACACTGATGTACTCCAGGAAGAGACTGCATCAGGAGTCATGTTCTGATTATTACAGATAAGGAGAGAAAATGAAGGAAATAACGGTCTTCAAATATCGTGATTGATTTTTCAAAAATACCTTGGATTTCAGCAAATGACAATGGAAAACTATCTCTTGGCAAGGTGAAGCATTAAAAATTCCTTTGAACATGGTATCTCTTACACAGCAACACATTTGTGCCATAGAAGTGTTTTCTCCTGCCTATGACAAGATTTTATTTCTTCAGAAAAGGTACATTTTTTCCTGAAATGGACTTCTTTGGACTTCTTTTTTGCAAGCACTTTTTGAGATATACTTAACTTATATTTAAAAGATGCATTTAGTTCACATAACCTGTTGAAATTACTGAAAGGAAGAAAAGGAGACAATTAAAAAAAGAAAAAGCAAAAAAAAAAAAAAAGACTTCTTTTTTGCAAGCACTTTTTGAGATATACTTAACTTATATTTAAAAGATGCATTTAGTTCACATAACCTGTTGAAATTACTGAAAGGAAGAAAAGGAGACAATTAAAAAAAGAAAAAGCAAAAAAAAAAAAAAAGCGAGTTACAACTGATTCTTCATGCTAGAAGATTTCTGATGATCTTTGCTAAAAGATAAAGCTCCAGGCTACAAGTCCAATTCGCTACCAGCAACTTTTCATCACTTCTATGATAAATATCCTCTTGATTTTTGCTCTGGTCACTCCAGTCCTTTACTTTCCCATGTTTTGCCAGTTCTCTCTTCTCAATGTAAATTGCAGAATTAGCTTTACAAACTTTTGAGAGTTGCTGGAAATTTTTCTTGTTTTTAATTGAAGGGCTAATTGCAGCTCTCTAAGTTTTCCCTAGGACACTTGATTAGAAGTGTGACTTTTTATTTTTGTTTTTGCCTCCACAGCACAATGGGAAAACCTGACCGGGGACGCTTCCCAAGTTTTACCCATCTCTGTCAGTGAACTTGACAGGCGAGTTGTTACCAAGCGAGGGGGTAATAAGAGAGATCATCATCATGACTGTGCACTTTACTGATATGCTGTAATCAAATGTGGCA